GTGTGTGTGTGTGTGTGTAGGGTGGTGAGTCTTACACAGGACAGATGCAAAAATTAAAAACAAAAACAAAGCAAATATCTGCTGGTGAAAAAACTGAGCCATACACGTAGAAGACACCAACAAAGATAACTAGAGATTTGTGGTAATAAGAGCAGTCTCTGTGTGGTGTCAAGAAAATCACGTGATATCCACAATGGAGTTTATGCGTCACTCTGTCTGATGCACCTGGCTGCACCACCTCTCACCCGAATAATGCAGAGGGATTTGTTGCTGCTGTGAACATGTCTGTGCAGAGATCCTCCCTCTGTGTTGTGCATGTGTGAAAAGCAAATTGCGGGTAAAGTCTGTACCAAATTTTCTGGACTTTACGAGCAGGGCATGTCTGAAAAAAGCTTATGTGTGTGTCTGTGCTGTGTTTGTATGAGCAGCTGGGAGTGAAAGCCCTGACTGTGGAAGACCTGCTGCAGGCCCAGAAGGAGATATCAGCTCACAACTGTCAGCTGAAAGAGCAGACCAAACAGCTTGAGAGAGACATGGCCTTACTGAGAGACCACAGCCTGCTACTGGTGAGACCTCAGAGCCTTTTACTGTTGTAACCCAAACCTTCTTGTTCCAGCATCTTCTCCAGTAATTCACACCTGATACCATTCCTGCTCTCGTTTTTTACGATACTAGCCGCCAGTATGTATATGATTACTTTAACTAGAGCATTCTTGAAAAGCAAATAAATAACAGTAGATTTGTTTGTTTTTTCAGCTGAAGTCTCGATGTGAGGAGCTGAAGCTGGATTGGGGCTCTTTGTGTTTAGAGAGTCTGTTGAAGGAGAAGCAAGCACTGCGCAGACAAATTTCTGAGAAACAGAGACACTGTTTGGAGTTGCAGGTACAAAGACTACCTCCTGATTCTGCCAGATATCTCTTTTCTTCTATTATTATGCTCCATATTTGCTGTTTTTTCTCTTTTGTCCCCTCCCTCCTCCATCTTTCGCTCTCTCTTCAGAGATATTTATGGGAATTAAACTTATTACCTGAGAGATAAATGAATTGAAGATTTAATGAAACACTGTTTTTCCTAGACATGTCAACATCATCACTGGATACCTGTTTTCCTGTGTAATGGCTCCCCCTGGTGTGTTTGTAGATCAGCATTGTGGAGCTGGAGAAAAGTCAGCGGCAGCAGGAGCTGCTTCAGCTCAAGTCGTACAGCCCCTGTGAGGGCTCCCCATACAGGAAGAGCCTGGAATCGCGCTCTTCCACAGACATGGACTCCTCGAAGCTCTGCCTGTCCTCTGCCCCAGCCATCAATGGTGTCAGCCCAGAGCTTTCCATTAATGGCACCAGTTCACCCTGTTTCGAACGCGCCAGCACAAAGGGAGAGCTTCTTTCTCGCTACCTGCCCATCTCTCCCGACCACGAGATCGTACCCGCCGCCCCTGACCCTCGGCAGAGGCAGCAAAGCTTCTCCCACACTCTTCCTGACTACACGCGCTTCTCCCCTGCCAAGATTGCCTTGCGGAGGCACCTTAACCAGGACCCCACTGCCTCAATTCACCTAAGAGGTCCGGGGTTGACCACACACAGGTTGGTAGCGATAGAATCTCCCAGTTTTCAAAGGTCTTCAAGTTTCTCCTTAAAGCAACAAATTGCTAACTAGTGGAAGTTAAATTTACTCATTTGTGTTTTGTTTTAATTTTTTTCCAGGGAATTGGTTGGTGTTAACTCACCACTTGGAGCCAAACTAAACTGCCCCTCTCCCAATGCATTGGATGCACAGAAAGGTTCAGAGAGGGTAAATATTGATCTCTGTTCAATTTCCTAACTCCCTTCTGATCTTCAGTTCTCTCACCGTCATCACATTTTCCCTTTGGTCTCTTTTAAAGGGTGGTAAAGAAAGGAGTCCATCTGTTCAGGTTGATAACAGCATCACAAGCCTTCCAATTAGCATCCCCCTGAGCACTGTCCACCCAAGTAAACTACCTGTCAGCATTCCACTGGCCAGCGTGGTGCTACCCAGTCGAGCAGAGAGACTGGTGAGTACCCTTACAACAGTCAGGTTTGGTACAGTCACCAATTTTTATTGTTATCTCTATTATCTCTGTTTTCTGCAATGAGCCTGAAAATTACTAACAGTGTTCCTGTTAAATTTTTTGTGGTAGGACAAGATTTGACATGATGCCCTCTTGTAGCTCATAGTTCGGGTCACCTACATTGGTGCCTTGCTATAGATATAATGATATGAAATTAGATTTATGTACACAAGTGGTTCGTATTAACAGCTATTTATTCACTTTTTACAGTGAATAAATGTGATTTATCATTTCATGTCATAATATGTTTTTGGGTTCATAATTTCAGAGAAGTACTCCGAGTCCCGTCTCTCAGTCAGGCCAGACTAATGGTAAGGATAACGTCTTTTTACATATTATATTAAGTATTATTACCTCATGGAGAGACATTGTATATTTCTACACCACATTCACACCTAACAATAATGAATAAGATATTTTTAATTGCATCTGTTGTGTTCTGCATTTGATTACTGCCTTTCTGCTCCTCCCGTGTATCTTTGTCCCTCACGCGTTTGCTCTCTCTTTAGGATATTTATCCAGCTCAGGGCTGATGAATGGAGGTCCCCACCCTGAGGACCATAATGGTGCTTCTTCATCGCCTCTTCCACACAGCAACGCTCCTCTGACAGGACCCATAGGTCGAGGAGGTCCCATCCAGAGCCCCCCACTCAGTACTGGGGGGGTGCTCCAATATGCAGACGGACCACCAAGGATTCTTCCAGAAGACGGACAAGACCGCCAGGGAGGTGAATCTGACACCGAGCCCCAGGACAGTGAACTGCGGAGGAGAATCTTCTTCTCCTCATCCTCCTCATCCTCGTCTTCCACTTCATCAGGCAGTGGAGGCAGCGCGGCCGGAGGTTCACGCCTCCACCATCACACTGGCAACTCAGCCAAGCAGGGATACCACAGTAACCATGGGAACCACCATCACCAGTCGCCTGGCACACAGCACACACACCCCCCCACACATATGTTGTCATCACATTCCTCTCACAGCCTCGGCTCTCAGGAGGGACGCAAACGTGGGAGACGAAAACGCAGCTCTGCTGGGCCTGTCACGGCCAGCGGATCCCCAAAGAGGAGGTCGTTCCCTGGGCTCAGCTCCAACAACCACTCCTCAGGATCACCACTCAACATTAACTCCATGGTGAGTCCCCAGAAGCATTTGAGCTGGAAACCAGCAGGGAGCAATATCATACTATATTGATTGTTACAGTGCCGTTTGTAATATATTCTGTTTCTATAAAGTCAGGCCATGTGCTGCATTTTAATCATTTTACTTTACAGGCAGACACATGTGCTGCATTTACTGATAGATTTCTTTGTGAATGAGTTCAGTAGAATGTTACTCTGATGATTCTTCTTAACCTATTTTCATCCATGAGTGTCATCTAGGTGTGATCATCATGTCCTCATCCCAACAGGTCAACAACATCAACCAGCCTCTGGAGATCTCTGCCATCTCCTCACCAGAACAATCAAGCCGTAGCCCCAGTGGGCCTGACCTGGACCAGCCTCCCATCTTGAAGAGAGAGCGGCCCCTGGAGCTCAATGGCACAAGTCGTTACTCCTCAGCCCCCAGCTCGGATGACGAGGACTCAGGATACCCTGCTGACAGCTCTAGTTCTCGGTAATATAGTCATTATAATGAGTACAGCATACCTACTGAGCTGCAGGATGTTTTTCTCTTTTCCGAAGTCTTGTTAGTTGTTGGGTCATATCTAGATGCTAATTTCAACATGTCCCCTTACTTTTATTGCAAATCAATCATGTAACTTGTTTGAATTGGAAAAATATGACTTCATGCCATTTGATTGCATCAACTCTTGCAGTTTTTATAGTGTTCACACACATTTTGATGACTCCTGTGACTGATTTTGTCTTTTTCCTCCAGAATTGAAAGAAAAATTGCTACTATATCCTTGGAGAACAGGGATGGACCCAGTAGACTAGGGGATAATGAAAGAGGTAAGTGGAAGAAAATGTTTGAATTCACGTTAAAATAAGGAGCAACTTGATGTCAACTGTTCTTTTTATCTTCCACCACCAGGCAGAAAATCTGGTAGCAGCAGTGGAAACAGCACAGGTAGTGAAGCCTCATCTTCGTCCTCCTTGTCTTCTACCAGCAAATGGAAATCTACTTTTTCACCCATATCCGACCCAAAGCAACCCAACTCTGACCTGAGACAGGGGGGCTCACCTTTCGGCATGGGGGGGTCCAGCCGGGGCACAGACTCAGATTCTGACCACAAACAACAACAGCATCAGCAAGCGAGAAAAGGGAGCGACGGAGAGTCGTCCAGCTACATGACCCCCAATCCCTTCCTCAGTCAAGAGGCAGGGAGCCGAAGTGGAGGCGGCAGCAGCAGCGGAGCTCAGGGAGGCGGCAGTTCAGATCAGCGCCAGGCCCACCAGAAGCAGAAGACCCCCCGTGACTGGGATCTGAAGACGAGCAGCAGCCTGGCCAGTCAGAACCTCTTCATCTCTGCAGCTGCTAGCAGTGGAGGGGGGATTCTGAGTGGGAAGGTGGGCGGCAGCCCTGTAGCAGTTTCCTCAACCACTGGGTCTTCTGTGGGACAGTACCTGGGGTCTCAGTTCCCACTTGGAGGGGCGTCAGTGTTACAATCCTTGTTCGGGGCCCAGACAGGCGGGTCCACGGTGAGTGGGACCCCGCGGCTTGTCAATGGACACTCTGCCTTGGGAAGCTTCTCCAGTGCAGGGCTGGCAGGGGGAGCAGCTGGAGGTGAGCATTGCTGATTAAATTATCATGTAGAGTTTTGTCTCAGTATTGTTGACCAGTCAGAGTGAGGTCTAAGTCTTAAACAGGGGTCAACTTAATAAAGAATAGTCTGAGGTAATTGACCTGGTAAGTGGAGGCCCAGTGCTGCTGTCGCTCTGTGTGACTCAGTCTGACTGACTGACTCTGTGCTGCTTCGCTTTGACATGGACTGGCTGCTTGAGTGCTGCAGTTGGAAACACCCTTGGAAAATGTTGCTCTTAACGACAATAGAAATCAGTAATTGACCATGAATCATAACATGTTTTATACGAGTCATACTTTACTCCTTTGTCATTTTCTGTGGGTGTATCTGTAGGAGTTGTACGTCAGAGTCAGTTCACTTCTAAGTCAAAATCTACGCAGAAAAATCAACACTGTTCTGATTAAGTTTGAGAAAATCCTGAATTGGCCCCGTGGATTTGTTTTTTTCCGACCACAGCCAAAGTGGACTGACTCTGTTTGCTTTGTGTGTGCTTGTCTAAAGACTCGCTTGGCGCTATGCACAACCTGGCTCAGCCCCTGCTTCTCTCTTTGTCCCCACCCTCTTTCTCACTCTCTTTGCTACTATTATCTGCCCCCCACTCTCTCGCCCTGCCCCCTCCCTCCATTTCCTACTGTATGATTTGCAGGTATATTTCACCACGTGGTTCCCACAGTGTCCTCCCATCAGTTTGGGGCAACGCTGCCCGCTTCTGGAGGCCTCAGCTCTCTGCTCAGTCTCTCCTCCGCTTCCTCTACCTCCTCCCAAACCCAGCAGCGCACCTCCCCCCAGCCAGCCTCTGCGCGCCTGACCTCCGTGTCCTCACCTCTCCCGCTCTCACAGGCTCAGCATAGCCGTACCCAGTCGGTGCTGCACAGCCCCTCTCCTCCCACGCTCTCCCTGCCCCCTCCACCGCCCCTGCACAGCGCCCCCTCCTCAGCACCCACACACTCTGACGCTCCACCATCGTCCCGGTCAGACCCCCTCCACTCCTCCCGTCTCTCCCATTCTTCTCTCCATCACCAGAGAGCACAGTCATCCCTCTCTCTCTCCATCTCCTCCTCTGCTTCTGTCTCTGCTGCCGCCGCCGCTACTGCTTCCCTCTCCTCATCCTCCCTGTCCACCTCCTCCGCGTCTCGTCCATTCACAGTGCACTACTCTCCTCGGCTGCCCCCCCCACCACCGCCCACAAGCTCAGGTGGTGGCGGGAGCATGTGGAGGACTCAGGGCATGCATGGAAACTACATCACCTCCCAGCTCCCCGGCTCCAGACCTAGATAGGGTTTTGGGGAGGGAGGGGGAGATGGGAGGATGCAGAGGGGGGGAGGGAAAGGGGCAATCAGAAGGTGGAGAGATGGAGAGAATGAGAGAGAGAGAGACTGGTAGGGAGTGAGAGAGACAGGATACCTGTTTTCCCTGTGATCCTACAAGCTGTTGTTCTGATTGAACAAGGTAAGACAGATCTAAGGTTTAAAAATGTGTTGAACAATCGAAAAAAAATCAGTCAGTAAAACACAAATGAATTAAGTTTCTTTAATTTGAAATAAACAAGTTATATCAACACGACATATTATTATGAACAAATTAGGGATGCCATGTTGGAGACATTCGCCCTGTGGATAATAAAAATAAAAGCCTGTGTCAACAATAGTGTTACCGATTACACCTGGACATTTAACAAGAAAAGACGTGTGTCGGGTCAGTTTTCATGATAACATAAAAGTTCCTTTATAAGTTTGAGCTCTGCACCACTCTCTCGTTTTAATTATCTTTTAACTCAAAATGCTAATCACCCTCGAGGATAAACTCTCATCATATGATTAGACGCTGTAATGTGACGTGTGACTCGTGACTACCAAGCCGGACAAAACATTTTTTTTAACACCTGTCATGCTCAGGTCACAATGCGGTCAGGCCCGGGTTAGGTAGGACAGAAAAATACAGCCCGAATCACGCTGCTGCTCCTTTCTAACTCCAGTGTCCGACTAAATATTGATAATTTGTGACGTTAGAGTTACCATTAATACAAATAAACGAGCCTTATGTCTTCTGTACAACAGAACCACGGTGGAACATTTTCTAAGATTGTGAGAGTGTGTGTGCTGGATGATGCATTATGATATTGAAAGTGTCATGATTTAATTGTGTGTTTTTCTACTTTGATCCACCAGGTAATTGATGAAAACTACCTCAACAACATTAAAACTATGCAAATGTCCAAGTGCGGACCAAGGCACTCTCCTCACTCACTGGTGCTTCAAAATATCTGCACTACCCAACCGCCTGCAAGACCGGCCTCTGTAGTGGGATTTCTGATACACATTCAAACAAACAAACATACACACACACACACACACACACACACGCACACACTAACCAGCACCACCACTATGGTCACCTTGAGCAGAATTCATTGGTACTGGTCATGTTAATGTGAGGAGTGTTGATAGTGAATTATTGTTTGAGCTCAGTACTGGCTGCTGCCCAGCACTGACTGATCTCAATGGTCATGTGTTGTTTAACATTAACACGCTCAACATTATGATAGGTTGTCATTTCTTTGTCTTAGTTACGACTAAGCAACTAGTGTAATAAATAATCAGCTCTGAGTGATTTTATGAAACATTCGACAACCGGTAGAAGCACATGGTCCAACGTTCTAGAGCTGAATCTCATCAGGCATCATCCTCTGTCCAAATTTCACTTCATGTGTGTGCACACTCAAACAAACACACAGACCAGTTCACTGAACTCTGCTCACATGTCATGCAGCCTTTCCTCTCTGCATGCATGCTCTATTATTGCTTGTTTTCTTCCTTCAGTGAAATTCAGTGTTTGTTGAAGCATATTTGACGAAATGAGGAACTTAATATTTTGGTCTAACTTCACACTGGATAGTAAAATAGTTACTTGGGTAGCAAAAACACTCTGGCTGGATTATTGATACCCTAAAAACTCTGTTTATGTTGATGATTTGCTCTATTTTTATCTTAATCACTTTACGGACTTATAATTTGTACCTTAATTGTGAAACACAAACACATTTTTGACCCACAAAACTGAGAACTAATATCTCTTTTCTTTGCTGCTAACTTAAGCAAATTCACATTGTGAGTAATGGAAACTGTCCGTGTTTTCTCTTCTTATGTCAGATATTTAACATATCAGTGAAAGTTTCTTAGGTGACAATAATCAGGTGTATTTCACATTCTCTAAATGATGGACACATGAAGAGTGTGAGAGAAAATCAGTGTATAAATTAACCTTCACATAAAATGATCTGATGTTAAAGTGACTTTAGAAAATAAAGTGAATCCGCAACATTTCCAGGGGTGACAATAACACTGAGCCAGACTCATTAGCACAGTACATTTTAATGGTTTTCTTTTAATAAGACCCAATGAAATTGATTTAATGAGATGGTGCTCTGTGTCTTGTGTATCGTTAGCCACACTCTCATGGAAACCCACTGTTAGTCAGGGGGCCGTGGCTGCACTGTTGTTAAGTAAAACTGAATCCAGGTGTAAAAGTAAAATAGTAAAACCACAGACAATTGAACTCATTAGTGTATTTGTGAATATTTCCTCCTCCAGTCAGTTTGATACGTCACAATAGTCTGTGGAGCCACAGCAGGAGTTTTTAACTTTTCTTATGCTAAACGTATTCATATTTATCTCTGCTGTCGCAGGTTTCAGCAAAATGTGGATTTATAGATTTTACAACACACACACACGCATGCAAATCCTCACACACTGGGAAAACACAATTAACCACAACAAACTACTGGACTCTTTTCACACCTTTTTGTTTTTTTTATTGTGTAATTTGTCATTTTTGTAAACAATGTTTGTACTGTGAATGTGATTCATGCTCCAACTGTATAGTTGTGTATAATTTAGATGATTATATTTATGCCATCAGTCTCTTCATTTGCCTTGGTATTTTTTTCTTTTAATCCTGAATTGTGTTGACATTGTAGAATGCAATAGTGTGTACTTGACTCAGTCTGAAAACAATGGTGCTAAATTTGGACTGTGCCTAATCTTATTTATTCTTTAGTGAAAACATAAAAACAATTTGGACACTTGGTGCTGTACACAGGGACGTTTATAAAAGCCTTTTTTTTTAGGCATTTCCTTTTCTCATATTTAATATGCTGTTGTCTTTGAACGCCTTGTGTACAAGTGTAGACGCCATCTTTAGATGTCTACTGTGTAAACAGGTATGAGGGGCCTCTGTTCATGTTTCTCACACAGCTGTTAACATGTGTCCGGCCACTTTCTCAATAGTAAGTCGCATATCTGTAAGTGAACAAGACACACTGTTTTGTACATAGGTTTATGTTTTTTTCCCTTGTATGTCCCCATCATAAACAGAAAGCTATATAAGATATGTCTCTATATACAGTCTATATGTATAAATGAGTAAAAATATATATATAAGTCAATAGGGTTTTTTTTGGTGCTGGCATTGCAACCCTTAAATTCAACCTGTTAAACAGGAGGCTTGAAGCCAGGGAGAGCAAAGCATTGCCACCGCAGGACCTTAATAGAGGGCGTCTTAACAACACACACACACAACAGAACTAGAAACTCACAAACTGTGTGTATTTAACACACAAAGGTGCTGTGACTTGAACATAACTAGATTCCAGCTCTAGAACTGTTATCTTGATTTTTACCAGATGTTTTCATGTCTGTTTATTTTTATTTCTTTTATATATACCAACCCAGATTCTGCAGGAAAAATGGTGCTTCTGTTTCCAGACAACAATGAAATCTTGACTGGTGCATAAAGTGTCACCTTCTTCACACACACACACAAAAACACACACACAAACACATTGTCTGTCTGTGAGTGTCTTACTGACAAGGCCCTCCCATGTAGTGTAAGCATACTGTGAGACATGCTGATGTAAAACACTTGTGTTAGCGTGTGTGTGAGCAGCAAAGCTTCTTTTTCTGATAGTGGGAATACACTTAAGCTCAGTGTGTGTGGTTTTTTGTTCCCACTTGATGGTGCATATCTAAGGGAAGATTAGAATAATAATAATCAAAGCTTTATAGTAAACTCCTGTCCTGTGCACTCACTGTGCGAACACAAGCGTGTTTTCAGAGAGACGTTTTAGAACCTAATTAGAGACGATAGAGTCCTTTTGTTACCAGCACTGAGAGCTTCTTTGTAATTATTGTCGATGCCGTTATGATTTTTCTTATTCTTGATGTTTGATACAATTACAATTACATGTTATGCTTTTAACTGTGTCTTCAGATTCCTGTCGGTTTTTAATACTACTTGTCGGACAGACAGCACGGTGCTCTCCTTCACTTAAAACAAGGAAATTGCAGCTATTCATAAAAAAACATTGCTCTTGTCCTGTTGTGCTGCAGGGTTTTATGGGTAACGATCGTCAGCATGAACTCGCCTGGCGGCTTTCTGGATAGTGCAGTCTAACTTACAGAAGTTTCTCTCACGTGGAGGAGGGGTTTGTGATGTGTGTGATGGTGAGAATAGTTCATGGAATTACACTCAGTGCAGATTTAAACCAGCCTCTTATATAATCACTGAAAGGGGTGAGGTGCTGTGATCAAAGTCCTTTGGTGCATGAGCATGATTGGACCCTGAAGCTTCTATGCAGTTCTCCAGCTTCATCTCCATCCTGGTACATGACTGGTCCAAAATCTGTGAGAGCTGTGCAGTCGAGGCCGTTTACTCTAAATCCTGCCAAAGGTCTGAAACTCAGGAACTTCCCAGGATGCTTGTAATGCAGACGATTCTCTTTTAAACTACTGCACGCCCCAAGCTTATTCACCATGGTGGCGCAATGAAGCCCCTCAGTATCCCCCCCCTAAACTCAGGACCAGGACGAGCTCCTCATTCATTGTATGTCAAGGTAAAAATTTAGTCATGTCTCCACAGATTTCTTCTCACTGTCACATACATGCAGCCTCTCCGGTGAAACGTAGCTTTATAAAGCTTTACACGAGTCGTTCTGATCTGGAGCAGCTGTGAAATGGCCACAACTTTCAGCATCTTCCTCATCTCACAAAAGCCTCTGTCTGATATGTGTCTCTAAAGGAGGAGGTTCACCGTCCTCTGTTGGGTTGAACTGATGTTAAAAGGGCGGGGCGTGAACCGCAGTTTGTGTATCGTGATCTCTGATTGGTGAAGCCAGGGCAGGTTTGAGGTGCAATAACGGCAAACCTATTTCCCAAAAGGCCCCAGGTTTTCATGGAAAACCTGTTACTGTTCGGTGTTGGTGCTTTTATCCTAAGATGTTATAATGAAACAAATGGAATTAATGGGTTTTTTTCTGCGTTTTATGATTATTAATAAAAATGTTTCTTATAATATTTGAATTCATTTTGTTGTGCTGTGGCTTTTATGTGTGATTCCGTTTCTCCTCATGGATGATGTGTTTGATTTGAAACATTACTCAACAAAACACCTCAGGATGCAAAGAGACAAAAACGATCTTTTTTTATGAACGTATTTTATTGGATTTTCAGGACGTCGCAGAGCAGTACAATGTTCAAATGTTCCAATATAAACACAATAGAAGGAAGACAAACAGACAAAAATTATCTTTGTACAATCAAAACAATGTAATGTCTCTTCCTCGCTGGTGTGTTCTCCACCAAGGCTCAACAGTTCCCTTTTAAAACCACATTTAAATTCACTTGATTCAGATTTTGATTAGAATCTGCACCAAATTTCACACTCATAAAAAACGAGTCCCCCTAAAATGCCTGTTTTTTAAATTTATTTAAGACCCATGAATAATTATTATATAATAAGTATTATAAAATGCTTAAAGTTTGAAAATAATTTTGCAAACGCCTGCTGGATCCTTACCAACATTTTTAAATGGGTTCTTTCCTGACCCGTTCTGCATCCTACACTTTTCAGTTTCATGGTCGTCTGTCCTGTAGTGTTTGTGTAATGCAGCTAATTATCTGACAGACATTTGATTAGTCTCTGGTGTAGTTCTGCTGCATTTTTCCTTCACAAATAACTCCCAGTACAACAAGTCACAGAACGCTGTTCTTGTTTTTTTTATGACAAAATGCCTGTAATGTCTCAGAGAAAAAACCTCCCAAAGAGTCTGGAGAGTGAAACTTGTCACCTGGACGCTCAGTGAGGAGACAGGGATGGGGTCCAGATAGCCCAGAACAGTGTGTACATGACTTCTTCATTCTCTGAGTCTGTCTGACCGATATGGATTCTTTGGGGGGTGGATACAGCAACTGCTATAGGGGAGTAAAAAAATATATTATAAAAATAATGTGTGTTTCAGAATCAGAATCAGAATTCTTTTATTTGCCAGGTATGTTTGCACATACAGGAAATTGCCTTGGTGTCATTGGTTTAGTCTGTAAAATAAGTGTTCATGGCAAACATCACTAATATCAGTATGACTGTGAAAGGCTCACATCAGTCGTTATAATCGGCCAACAGATATATCAATGGAGCTCAGATTCTCCTAAGTAGAGAATTGTAGAGACGTCCGTGGGGGAGTCACACCAGGTTATATGAATGCTTTTGATTCCCACAGTGTTGAAGTGTGGTATAGCTGCAAAGAAACGATCTGTTGAAAGCATGAGAGATTAATGACTGATTCTTGTCATTCCTCACTGAAGATTTGTAATGAACAACACTGACCCTTGACTTTATCTCTCGAGATACGTGACCACAAATCAGCCCCGAGACCTTGAGAGGCTGCAAAACAAGGCTGCAGCTGTGAGACTGCTGATGGGAGTAACTGCTCTTTGAACCCTACCACATCACATGTATCCATTCCTCCATTCCTCTGCTGCTGCAACAACAGAAACTGTTGTACACAACCATCAAGTCACGGTCTGAATGAAACTGTTACATGCGGATCTATCATCCCCTCACATTTCCTTTGACTTCCCTCTTGTTCCTCTCCAACAAGAAGGATCTGATTGTTTTATAAAACTCAGCCACTGTCAGACGACCAGTGATATCAGAACACACACTCACACACACTTATTAATACTTATAATATTTAATACTTATATACTTATACTCTTATATCTGTCCATTAAATATGAAACTACTTTAACTACTAACTAACTGATAGACAGTTAACAGCTACTGTTAATAGACATTAACAGTAGCTGTTAAGTAAATGATATAGGTAAGTATGTTAATATAAGTTACATTGCAGAATTTAAAGTTCCAGTGTTTAAGATTTAGGTGAAAGGGATCTATTGGCAGAACTTTAATGTAGAATAATCCTCATGATGTTTTCACTAGTTCATTTCATCTAAATTGTATGAATTATAGTTTTCTTTATTCCAGGAAAGACCCTTTATATTTAAATACTTTATATTTACATGGAGGGGACCCTCTCTACGGAGGCCGCCATGTTTTTTACATTAGTCCAGACTGGACAAACTAAACACCTTTTGAGTTTTTATGACAACTGAAGCTACCACAGTTTTTTTTCATGTTTGGAAGCAGAGGGTGAGGTGAGGGGTGTTCAGCTGCAACATGCAATTTCAACACTAGATATCACAAAATTCTACACACTGAACCTTTAAGTGGCATGATAAAATATGATTAATAATCTTGACAATAACGTGTATATAATGTGTAATTTGTTTTCTTAAAACAGGCAACATTCAAATATGTTCTGACGATGGCATTGATGCAAGAGTTACTTCAAACTGTATTTTAAATGCAATGTTACTACATTAGGTTATGTTTGGGCTTTTAATTTCACCTCAGGATCAAAGTTCAGTTCAGTTGCACAGCAAACACAAACCTGTGTCTGAGAATATTTGCTCTGCACCTACAAAGCATTCATTTAATACATCCTTTTCCAGCCTGTGGGGGGGGCTGTTTCATGTTTCATCAGTAAGTCAAAGGAAGTCATTTCTATAATCTTGAAACCCTGGTTGATGTGTGTCCTCACCTCCTCCTCCTCATTAACAAAGATTAGGTGTGTAAGAGCTTAACTTGCTTCCTGGAGGTGAACAAAAAACATCTTTGTGTGCAGCCAACAACACAAACACAACCCACACGTTTAAAATCACCAAGGACACAATCTTCCTATTTTGGCAGCGTGTTAGTGAGAAGAGAAGGTGGGAGTGCACACCTCCCATCCTCTGAAGCTGGACCCATTCAGAAGAAAGAGTAGAAAAAAGGACTGACAGCACGGACACACCACAGACGGTGAAGTATGCCGGTGGTGAACGTCTTCTGCTGCGGAGCGCTGGTGCTCTGCTGGACCTGTGCAGCACTGACAGGTCAGACTCCATGCAGTTCCAACTTTATTCATGCACTGTTTGTCAAGTGCATTTACATTTGATGTTATGGTGCTGCAAGCTTATCAGTGACGGTGTTTGCATGGAGTTCATGTTCTTGTCTTTTAAGCTTCTTTTCAGTGTTTCATGTAAATTGTTCTGATTCCTCAAACCTCATTGGCCTCCACAGTTTCTCATCCCTCCCCTCACCTTGCACCGTGCTACGTGGATGACATATTTGCAGCACTGCGTGAAGGTGTGGGGGCCGACGGTGAACTCGCAAGCAGCAGTTTTGCTCTGTTTGGGGTCTGCGCAGTGTCTGACAGTTCATCGGGATCAGTCTTACTGGAGCTCGCCAAGGAAACGAGCAGAAGCCAGAGAAGAGGTTTGGAGGTTTTGCATCCAACTGGAGGTGAGAGTTTGTCATTTGAGTGTAAATGTTGTGTTTTTAAATCTTCATGTCAAACATAGTTTTCTCCATCAGTGCTTGTGACTGAGGAAGATGACAGAGGAGCTCTGGAGTTGACCTTTGACCTGCCTCAGTCTCCTCTGCTCAGGCTGAGCCCCGTGCTGCTCCTGGCGTTTCAAAGTCCACTTAAAGGTGACGACCTGAACGTGACTTTCTCTAGTCTGTCTTTGCAGCCTCACACACAGGTAAGAAGAGGTCTTCTGTGAATATAGCCCAAATTACACACTCTGTTATATGTTGATTGTTTTAGGTGTAGTAATAATTTTGAAGTGCAGAATATTGCAGATGATGAGCAAACATTTCCAAGCCCAAATTGTTCTCTTTTGGTTTCCAGTCTGTGTGCATTTCAGCAGAAACACAGTACATACTGCTGACAGGAAACGCATCAGACGCCAGCTTTGTTCAGAAATGGAGGATTTCTGTCGAGGCCAAGTCCCCTGATCTGAGTAAGATCCCAGTTTCTTGTGTTTTTTCGTTTTCTTGTTTCGTGTGAACTCTGCTCATATTTACTCTCTCACTCTTGTAGAGCCGAACCTTAAAGACATGCTCATTGGTGAGAAATTAGGAAGTGGCATCAATATATCTCCACTTCTGCTTTTCTCTGGGGGAACTGAGACAAGGTTGTTTTAGCTTTCCTGTTCCCTGTCAAAGTTTTACCAAAGTGACGTCAGAGTGGCTGCTCATGAACTTTTTTTTTATCTCCTTGGCTGTAGACGTGTTTCAGGATCAACCTCCTCCTCGTCACAGACCTTCTCCTTCCTGTGTGAGCTGAGGCGCTTCCTGTGCGATGTCTTGCCTCAGGACCGCCCTGAGTCCCCTCAGCTCCAGCTGGACTCCCTACAGTCCATGCCCCAGCTATCGCTGGGCTTGTCCTCCAGCGAGACCCTGCTGGCGGGGCTGATCAACTCCTCGTCCCCCACCGTCTTCTCCTTCTCTCGATGGGGCTCCATGCTTCAGGTGCATCATGGACAGTTGGCTCTGTCTCCTTCTCTGTTGGAGGAGCTCAGGCAGAGGGTGGAGCAGACTGAGATGCAGATGATGGAGGTGATAAGGGGAAAGGAGGTGGGTAGCAGGGCCACAGAGAGGCTGGGGAGGCTCAAAGAACTCAGTGCGTTACCAGAGAAGGAACCGGCAGCAGGTGATGTGCACAAGAGAGTAGTGTCTTATTGTCTATAGCAGTGTTCCCCCAACTTTTTGTCATGCATCTCCTCGTAATCCTGTGAGATGAACTCATTTAACAGTTTTCTCTGCTGCATGTACCAGGAGAGAGCCAGTACCGCGCCTTTCTTCTCCTGAAGGCCCTGCAGACGGTGACCCGTACCTACGAGCTGCAGATAGGAGTGCGGAACACCAGAGCGGGCTCCAATGACCCGGCGAGGGGCAACATCTGCAGCCTGAGGAGTCTCACCGTGTCCCTCGAGAGGCATCTTGTGGGGCCAAACACGGCCGTCATCAACAACTGCCGAGGCTCTTGCACGTTCCCCCTGTTCAACGCCATCAACCATGCCGTCCTGCTCAACTCCCACATCGAGAGCGAGAACGTGGACGAGCGCGCCCCGTGCTGCGTGCCTGTGGCCTACGAGGCCCTTGAGGTGGTGGACTTGAACGAACATGGTACTTATCTCTCCGTTAAACCAGATGTTGTGGCAAAGGAGTGTGGATGCCGCTAAAGCTGTTTTTGGAGACTATTCATGACACCAAAGAAATTTTAGTTGTTTAATAGTAACTGTAGCTTGTTAGATGAAGTAAGTGTCATATGCACAGTGTTAATACACATATTTATTCAGGGAGGTCTTTTTAATATGTTGGAGTAAATGCACACAGCAAAATGTTCCTCTCACTCACTACTAACAAGATTTATTGAAAACTAAAATATACATGTTAACAGATATTTGATGTTATGATTCAAGTATCAGTATTATCATCTTCCACTGTTTGTAAATCTATCTTAAGAAGTTCTCTGAAAAGACATTGTTCAATCAAATTAAAAAGCACATTTTGAAGGAGTGTTTTGAAATATTGATTTAATATGATAAATATTTCTGAATAAATATTTTTTTCTCTGACATATAAATTAATATGTTACATTTTCTATCCTTATATCATTAAATTGAAAGTGTAAGACTGTGTTCTTCATCCAGAGTCCTGCTGCTGTGACAGCTAATGACCTCCAGACCTTTCACTCTTCTTTCAGATGCTCTACATCCTTTATTCTTTCGTTTTGGGTTTCAGGATCACTTTGTTGCCAATCGGCTTCTTTCTTCTTCTAATCACTCCCACTTCTTCTGATCCCCACCACCACATGACACTGTCCCATATAGAGATCTGGAGGAAGACAGCAGCAGATAACACACAGGTTTACAAAGGGTCCTCCTATATATACTATATATATATATATATACCACTTATTTATTATGCTGTGCCTGCAGGGTTCAGATTTTTCTTTTACAGCGTAGTGTTGTTGTACTTAATGGGAAATGATTACATGTTTTATCCTACTCGACCTTTTCAGTTTTAACTTGTGAATTTTTTCTGACATTTAACTGAACACAGACAAATCCTGTGACTGCTCCACAGACCACAGGCCAACTTTGCTTTCCATTTAAAGAATCACCAGAACTACCCTGTTAAAGCCACCGTACATCATCATACAGCATGGACTGGCAGCTATGCTCAGGCAAATACAATATTTCACGTGTCACACTGTTCAGCCTGATCCTCACGTGGTACCATCGGCCTGCACTTTTATCAGATCAGTGAAAGAATTCATTCAAGCATTTAAAAGTTCAAAAGGGCAGTAAGGTACTGGCTGTACTTTGTTATACTAATAAAACAAGTACATAACAGTGAATATGACGGTTGGCATCAGTGATTGAACAGTTACTGGGAGAGAGTGTGAGTAATAATAACAGTGGACAGTACCTGAGTTAACGAACCATCCTGCAGACTTTCAATGAAAGACCTAATGCCTGTGTCCTCAACAAAAGAGTCCAACGCATCTACAACACAAAATAAAACCGAAGACACTGAGGACCATGTCGACTTAAATAGAAGAGAATGAATTCAGTATACACAAAAAGTGTGGTATTGAAATTTCTCAAATAATACACTGAAGTAGAAGAAGGCATGCAGTAAATGAATTGCCATGCATGCAGTATATTGTTGATAACAGTACTCACCGTGTACTTCACTCACCCCTGAGGTCACCAGCAGTACAACCAGTGCCAACACTAAGCAGCGGTTCATAGTGATTCCCTTCCATGGATTTGGAACATCACTCAGATTTTCGATGGACAGAATCCGCTCATAAGACACTGTTTAAAATGTTTTAAAAAAAGTCAGATCCATGTACATGAGTTGCCCTAAAATTCAGTTGTTGTTTGAATTGGACATATTTCTTACTTGTGATGTTTTCAAATGATCCAACTCACTCCTTTAGGTTAATGTTTAGAAATTGCATCCAAAATAAAACTGTAAATGAAGACGAAGAACTGCTTACGGATAATTCAAAATCACAGCTTTTTTTTGTTCATGCACCTGCACTGCAACGTGCACAGTCTTTCGAACTGTACTCTGTGTCATTGACTCACATGTGACAGCTTAAAATAGGCTCCTGCAGCCGGTTGAAAAAGGCAAACAAGATTTGAGGGTTTAATTCTATATAAACTTCTACAGAGTGAAAAACAAACGTACCTGATTGGACTGTTCAGTCGTGTGTCACTCCTGAAGTGAAGCTACAGTCGTGTTGATGGTGATTTCTGAACTGCAGGACCCAGAGTCAGTGTTATACACACCCTGCACCATGTTGCTTCGCTCCTTGATTGACAGGCACAGATGAGGGTTGTTGAAAAAAGGAAAATGACATTGATACAATACTGTTGTTAATGAAGTCTTACCAGCACAAGATATATCAGATGCCAGTAGGACATTAAACATTTGACTAATTAGCTATTAAACTTGCTACAAGAAAGTAGAAAAGAAAGTATTTACAGTTACAAGTGCAAATTTGGTCTGAGAGCAACTTGATTGTAGCAGTTAAAGGTAAAGACAATATTTTAACTCACAAATACTTCATATACATATTCACCTGTTGGTTTTTTATGGTTGAAAGTAACTCAGTAGAGTATATTTACCTCCACCAAGGAGGTTGTGATTTCCTTGGTAATAATTTATGGATCTTGATGAAAAAAATCAGGCATGTTTAGGGGACTGATATTTCTGAGTGTGTGCAATTTGGTGCAGATCTAAATGAAAATCCAGATCTATTTAAATGTGGTTCCACCAGGGGGAGTGTTGTATGTGCATCTAGTTGTACTTGAGGTGAAAAGTAACCAAGTACAGTACACGTGTATTGTACTTAGACACATATTTCAGGTATCTCTCAGGTACTAGACCAGATTTTACAATAACGTTAAGGTACTTTAAGCTCGAATAATTAATTAACAATGTTTTGAAGACAAAATATTATGATAAAATGATAAAAGTGGTGATAAAATATAATGACACGCAGCTACAACAGTGAAATACTAAGAGGTTGTGCAATTCTGTATATTTTCGATCCTATTTTCACTGTATTTCTTAGTCCAAGCTTTTACTATTTTACTGTTAATTGCATATATATACAATATATATATATATATATATATATGTATGTATATATATATATATATGTATGTTTATATGAGTGTGTATATATATTTTATAATCTTAATCTGCGTGTGGTATCAATTAGGCATGTGCAGGCTTTGTAAGGATCTCTTGAATGTGTTTTTAAAAGGTGTACTAGTACACAAGTGCACAGTGTTAATAATAGTGGCAGGTATTAGTACCTGTCCTCCAGTGATCTGCGGGACACTGAAGCTGCTCCTGTGACAGCAGCGCGTCAGGACGGACTGGACCCTCCCATGACTAATACCGCAGCCTGCGGACCCGCTCAGCCTCAGAGGAGACGAGGAGAGGGCAGAGCGAGCAGCTGGTGCGGACGCTGGCCGGATGGTTAAATCTAACCTTCAGACGATTTTGAATAGTCATTGTTTTGTTAGAGAAAAAGAGAGAAACTTAACCGAGATGCCTGTCATCGAGCAGTCCAGTAATAAAACTGAAAGCGAGAGGTATGTGATGTCGATGTGGATTGTGCGCTAGCTAAGCTAAGCTAAGTTTAAAAACCGCGGCCTAGCTTAGAGATGCGGTGTATTTCCTGGAGCGGCGATCACTGCGCCCAGTATTTTTTTGTTTACATAACACATGTATTTATTCCATTTTGTGTTTAAAATCACACTGTCAGCTTCTTGTGTTTACTAGCTTTCGGATACATGTATTATAAAAATGACGCCAAACTATTGAGCTTGGTCTCGTCTGTATAGCATTTACTGAAAGCTGGCGTCCAGCAAGTAGACAAACTCATAGTAAGCGCTGCTGCTGATATCCAGCTGTAGCTAGCGAAGCTAATGCTAACGCCGCAGACATGCAGTAGTTAAACCCCGAGGAGTTTGCTAGTCAGCTAACGTCAAACTGTCGAGATAGTTATCGATTAGGACATTTAATCCAGTCCATGCCATTTTCTCATAGCACGACGCGTATCAAGAATGAATAACTGTGTTTAATCGAGTTATTTATCGTGTGTTTGCTTTGCTTTCACGCTAATGTCAACGTAGCTGAATTGCTAATTGTTACAGCTAACGCTACATGATAACAACAGTGTTTGCATATATTAAGAAATATTACCACAGGAGTGTGAGTATTTGTTTCTACCGTGACCTTTACTTTGATCTCATCAGAATACACGGGTCAGTCAACATATTTATATAAGGATTATGTAAAATGTGCTTGTAGCTGACGAACCTAGTGGTATAATGGCTGAATTGACCAGTGGGGGCTTCATAGCTTGTTTTTTTCCCCATTTTTATTCAGATGTGAACAAACAGCGAGACATCGTGGCACCTCCCGTTAGACATCTGATCAAACTTAGTTTTTTAATGGATCAACCATTATTTCAACACAACCTTTGCTGTGGGTTAACCATTGCTGGGTTAGCAGTCAGCCAGTGCACCAGGGACGTGTTGTTTACTCCTTCACGTCCTGTTGTGTTAGCTAATTATCTGGAGTTTGAATCCTGGAAAGGTGAATGACAGTTTTAAACAAGTGAGCGATCAGTCAAGGTGTTTTTGGACCTCGGTCGTGTCATGACAGGATTTTGGACGAGGCTGCTTTTCTGGTTCTATATTATTGTGAAAGACTCATAGGAAATTTCCACTGCACTGCAAAGGAGGGGGTGGCAGTATGGGGATGTTTGAGTCCAGAGATGATATATGAACACACAGAATCTACTCTTATTCTACACACTCACTGTATAATAAGTAATCTATTACTTCCAGTTTCCCCCATGGCTTTTAGCATTTATGTTAGCAGCATAGAAGCTGTTATGTAATAATCCGGCGATACAGCTTCTTGAAGATTATAAAATATGTAGCGCTCTCTTTCACCAGTAGCTTTTTAAACCCACTGCCTTGCAGCTACTGATCCTGTTATATATTTTGAAATGAGGCTGGTACAGCAGCGTGTCGTCTGTCTGACGCACCAACCCTTCCCTGTAACAATGCTTACATAATAACCTAGTGATGAGGGGTCCTTTTTATGATATTAATGCATAGCAACGGTGCTCTTACGCAAGCAGAGGCTCCAGAGAATGGTTCCTCATGTGACCAGAGCAGCTGTTTTTACCAGAGCGACCCAGGGTGCCAGTGTGTGTTGCTGCCTGCAGTGAACATGAGGATTTCAAAGGTTGCTAAGTAGTTTGCATTGATTTGAAACCCCTGTGCTGTGTTTTAGTGTACATGTTACAAAAGCAGCATTGGAGGTTTTGTGTTCAGATGCTAATTGGCTGTTTTACATAATCTGATAATGGGATTTAGGGAGAAGCTGTGTGAGTGTGCAATCTCCATTAGTTAGCATGATCGGGCAATAGGTTAGGTACCACAAATTGACTTGGTTAGCCAGAACCATTGACTATGGTTCTCATTTGGGTTTCACACATCTGCTCCACATACAGCACAACTGTGGCATTTGCGTAAGAGAGCATCTGTGAGTGTGAGAGCATTCTTGCATTGCTGCAACAGTGCTGCT